CAGCCCAGTATCTTTTTGACTGTTCTTTCCTACTCTGTAAAGTACATGAGTTTGTAAAAATTAAATCCATGTTTTTATTCACTGGCCTGCTTTTCTAATTTGGCTCTTGGTCCCAACCCTCACCTCTGTCACCCCCAGTTAATGCAACTATTCAGAACAACAACTTCATAGAACACAAGGGGACGGGATAAGAAATACGGGCCCCCCCCTTTTTTTGTGAGGGAGTCTCATTCTGTCCCCTGAGCTAGAGTACCATGGCCTCAGCCTAGATCACAGCAACCTCAGATTCCTGGGTTCAAAGCAGTCCTCCTGCCTCAGCCTCCCAAGTAGCTGGAACTACACATGGCTAATTCTTTCTATTTTTAGTAGAAACAGGGATCTTGCTCTTGCTTAGGCAGGTCCTTGAGCCATATTCCTGAGCTCAAGGGACCCTCCTGCCTGGTCCCCCAAGAGTGTTGGGATTATGAGTATAAACCACAGCACCCAGCTAGGATTGAGGGTGTGAACCATGACACCCAGCTGGGATTATGGGTGTGAGCCACGGCACCCAGCTGGGATGATGAGTGTGAACCACGGCACCCAGCTGGGATGATGAGTGTGAACCATGGCACTCAGCTGGGATCATGGGTGTGAGCCCCTGCGGCCTGCTGGGACTGTAGGTGTGAGCCCCTGAGCCCTGCTGGGACCGTGGGTGTGAGCCACTGCGCCCTGCTGGGATCGTGGGTGTGATCCCCTGCGCCCTGCTGGGACCGTGGGTGTGAGCCTCTTCGCCCTGCTGGGACCTGGGTGTGAGCCCCTGCGCCCTGGTGGGACCGTGGGTGTGACCCCCTGTGCCCTGGTGGGACCGTGGGTGTGAGCCACTGCGCCCTGCTGGGACCGTGGGTGTGAGCCCCTGTGCCCTGCTGGGACCTGGGTGTGAGCCCCTGCGCCCTGCTGGGACCATGGGTGTGAGCCCCTGCGCCCTGCTGGGACCGTGGGTGTGAGCCCCTGCGCCCTGCTGGGACTGTGGGTGTGAACCACTGCACTCCTCTGGCTCTTTTCTATTGACGAGTCACAGTGTCTCATGTTTTCTTATATTTTCACTCATAACTTTTAGAGAAAATACAGCCATAGTCAAGCAAAAGGAAGGCTACAAATGGACTTTTTGATATAAAAAGAATTATGGACCAGAAGCTATTGTCGGCATCGCAGACTACTAACATACTAGTATTTTTCCTTTGTGTATGATAGTTAATTGAGCAGGAAGGATTTAGACCATGTTTATGGAATTAAAAACTCCATGGGATCTTTTTCTTCCTTTTCAATATGAGTGAACAGAAATTTTCCACTTGACTTTTGTAATGTTCCCAAATTAAAGAAGTTTGCACTGAAATTCAGGCTCTGTAAAAACGGTGCATAGTCTGGGTTTGATGTGTGATTCTCCCACTCCAGTGAAGTAGGATGTTTGGGAACAAACTTTGCAAATCAGCATTATTGCACTGGAGTGACCACAAGTCTGTGTGTGTCTTTCTTCATACAAACGCCCCTGCTGGGATCTTGGTCGTATAGTCGGGACCTCGGCCAGCCACCAACCCAGCGTGTTTCCTCCAGATCATTCCCCCGAAACAGCTCAGTGAACAAACCCCTGGCAGTGTAAATGCTCCCCAGGTCTGGGACTCTCCTAAGTCAGAGTTAAAGAGCAGTCTGAAACCTGCTGGTGCAGCCCCGGAGTCTGGAGTCAACTGTCGGCATCAAGGAACCTTTCCTGGCTCTGGGGAGCTTCTTCCCTAATCTCTGTAATAAAGAATGTTTTCAGAACTGCGCAGAAAATGCACAGTTGAAAACTGTATGAAAACACTGTATTTAGTTATCTAGTATGGTGAAGGTATTTGGAATCCAGCTAGTTCCAGTGGTTTCCAGCCTGTGGGCTACATGGCTGCATGTTAATTTTGTGAGGACTTTTTTGCTTATCTGTGGGGTTGGACATCTCAAAAAGTATGCACAGACCTTTTTTTTTTTTAACCTGCTTTCCTTAGTGTTTGTGTATTTACTGCGTGACCCAAAACAACTCTTATTCTTCCAATGTGTGCAGAAAAGAAAAAAGGTCGGACACCTCTCTATATAAAAACAGACTCTTCTTACTTTCTTTTGTTGTCTACTCTGGAATGTGTAGAGGATCCTTTTGTTTTGTTTTGTTTTTTCTTTTTCTTTTTTTCAAGCTAGTAAGCCTGGCATTACAAAGCACAAAGTAGTCTCAGTTCCTGGGCTAAGGTGGGGGGATTGCTTGAGCCCAGGAGTTTGAGTCCAGCCTGGGCAACACAGCAAGACCCCATTTCTTAACAAAAAATGAGAAAAAGTAGATTTGGTTTAGATTTTCTTTCTATTTTGTTATATTTTTACAATAAATATTTATTTTCTTACTTCATATGAATGTGATTCTGAGGCTCCTGCTTTGACTAGGGTGAAGTTCACTTGTAGCCATTTTCAGGACTCCTCAACGGTCAAGGTTCTGAACACAGCACCCAGACGTTGATAAGGCCCCTGTGGTAATTGCCATCAATCCACTTTGGTAATCATCAGCCTGTCTTTCTTTGCTGAAGCCTACATTCTTCAACTCCAGAAGTCCTGCCGCTTGCGGGCCCCAGAGCTTAGCCCATCTCTTGATCAAGGCTGGGATCCATCTTACCTGCGATCTTCCTGTAGGTGTCCACCCTTGACCATGGCCAATAGGGTCTTAAAACCTACGACTCTGGGCTGGGTGCAGGGAACGGGAGGCCCCTGGGCACTGCAGGACTCAAATCTTCACTGTGAGGCTTTTTTCCTCCCCTGGCAGTCCTCCAAGACACCTCCAATAATCCATTCCACAGCCTTTTAGTTTTATTAAAAACAGAAAGAGCGGCTCGGCGCCTATAGCTCAACCGGCTAAGGCGCCAGCCACGTACACCTAGGGTGGCGGGTTCGAATCCCCAGCCCGGACCCGCCAAACAAC